TATATATATATCGTCTATATATCCCATTATGAATCATTTGGAGATAAAATGTAAACTATAAATTTAAAAAAATACATATTTGTCAGTGTTTTTTACGGATTAGATTTTATGAACAGTTGATAACAATCGCAATAAAATTAACTTAATTAATCTTTTTTCGGATTTTTTAAATATATGTAACATCTCGATTAATTTATAAACAAAAATGTATAACAATTAATAGTCCTAAATATTTGAAAATTTATTAGTAACGAAAAAATTAAAGTTATATTAATGTGGAAACTGAAATGTATTGTGAGGTATCGAGTCCGGAGATTCAGAAAAACGTAAAACATGAACAGCTTGAGCCTTCGATTCCTAGAAAATATTTTATGTCATTAAGCATATAAAAATTACATGCTTATATATCGCTTGCTTTTATTTTCATTATATTTTTGTCTTTTATTGTTTTATTTTCGTTAATTTTTCTAATTGTAGGCATAATAAAGAAACATAATTTTATTACCTGAGGGAAAACTAGTAAAGGGTCTCGTGAAAATGTATTTACATCAAAATCTCGTAAGTCTGACAGGGATTTAGAAATTCTATTTTTCAATAGGCGACCGCTCGAGTCCTCATAATCTGGGAAAACCACTCGTCCCGAGTTTTCCAATGTATTTTCCCTCGGAAAGAAGCTTTTTCCGCGATTTTGGTTTGTCAAAACAGGAAAGTCAAACTTTAACTTGTCCGTTCCAGTACGATCAGCTTCTCCAGCAATATTCGGCAGCGGAGCATTCCGTCTTTTTTCTTCGCTCAGTTCCGAATTATCTGTCAAGAAATGAATGTGATTTAACTCGTACAAAAGCATGAATTATAAATGTCACTTGCGAACAAATCTACGGTACAACTTCTACCTTGCAAAGCGTAAGATGATTGAGAATATCTCTTGCGTCCGTTTCTGTTGAAGAACTGAAAGAATCCACCATTATGATTGTTCAGATAATGCAACAGTTTGTCGGGATTACGCGGACATCTCGGAAATGCGCGGTAACACGTAGCTGGATTTCCATTGCTGCTATAACCCAAAACGGTAGCTCGAGCAAAACTTAGTATAGGAGATGCTTGTGCCAATCCGGTGAGCCACCTGATAATATAAAAAAAACCACGTAATTATTTGCTATAATCAATTAATGGAATGTGTATTATTATAAATTTTTTAATTTTGTATTTTATAAAAAATACGAACTGCGTGAAAATATTTCTTCCAGATTCTCCTAAATATTGCTCATTGTTCTCCGCTTGCTTATATTCTCTCGGTGGGTTTCCACTCGCCACTTCACAGAGTATTCTCGGCACGCATTTTAGATCATCGTAGCGAGAGATTGATGATATAGCATTAAAGATATTTGCTCCAAGACTACCAAATTGATTGAGAGGATTGATCAGCGTATTTAATTGATAATTTCCAATATTAGAATCTAATGGGACATTGTTATATTCCTGTAAAATATTTTAAAAAATATTAATATACTAAAATATTTTTAATATATTAATAAAGAGAGATAAATTTTATATTATTGAAATATATTAAAAACATACAAGTTGAACCTACCGATGGAACTTGAGCAATATTAAGTAAATTTGAGATTATATTTTCATAAGGAAATCCATAAGAATTATCTTCGTAATCTGACGAATCCGTTTGACTTGTTCGTCCTACAATTAACGATTGATCTCTATTTTGAGCAAAAAGATCGATAGCGAGTTCATCCATGCATCTGTATGATTAATTGAACATAAACAATAATTAGATAATTTTTATTATCATTTTGATACAATTTTCATTTAAATATTTTTTTCGATATACTCTACAAATAGAGAATATTGTATTATACTTACCGTAATAAATCTGTTACATTGTAAATCTTTCGAGGAACATCAAAAATGCATTGAGTATTGTCAGATGATTCTTGAAAATATTGTGAGAAATGTTCGGCGTGAGCTTCGGAATATAAATACAAGAGGCACCAAACGAAGATAAATTTACTTATCATTTTGAAATATAATTGTAAAGTCTATCTTTATTTTTAATAAATACAAATGTCTTGCTCGGTAGAAGACCGACTCGGTAAAATTTAATAACTTTACGGATTTTTAATGCACTGTTAAATGTAATATATCCAACATTAAAACACTTTCACTCTAACATTCTATTATAAAATCACCGTAATATTAATTTTCTTTGCAAACAGTACGAAGCACTTTAATAAGAAACTTATTTATGTCTAATTATGTCACGAATTTTTATTTATTTCAATTTTTTAGATGTATAACATAATCGAATTTAATTATTTTTTTCTTTTCTTAATGCAAACGATCGTCGCCTTTCTAGGTTTCGAACCAACTGAAACTTTCTTCAAAATCAATTCTCCGGTTAACTGTTCGGTCGGAAAGACGTGGGTAGTAACTCGTCACTATAAGCAACTCTCACTCCATATGTGCATTTCGAATCTGTGTGTGTGTGTGTGTGTGTGTGTGTGTGTGTGTGTGTGTGTGTGTGTGTGTGTGTGTGTGTGTGTGTGTGTGTGTGTGTGTGTGTACATCAGTGGACATACTGCCAAAGAACACGAATTTTCGTAACAATTCTTTGAAAATAAGAGGATTCATGTATGGTTTCTTAAATATCAAACAATTTATTTTCACATAATAACAGTAAATTTTGCGTGCAATGATGTATTATGTGACGCTATTCATTGATGGGAACTGTTATGGCATGGACATACAGCAAATTGAAGAAACACAAAAGAAAGAAATACGAAATTACATAAAGTGAAGCGAAAGATATGTTTGAGAGAATTTATAATTATGCAAATAAAATATTAAAATAATTATACATTTGCTATATTACATAATCATATATTTCTCATGACGATTTTTTATGTATTTAATTTGTACTTCTTCTCTGTTAAAAACAATTTACGATTTATTTTAAAAGATCAATTGACTAATAATATTAGAAATAATAATTTAATAATAAAAAGGAACTATATCTTTCACACAATCAATGTAAACGATTACGATTATATAAACCCATGCATCCACATTATACAAAAAAGAAAAAAAAAACAGATTATAGTTTACTTTCGCGAATATTTAAAGTTTATGGCATCAAGATTTAACTAAAAGATGCTAATACTTCGCTTCTTATCGAACAAATTACTCGCAGGCTCTGCCTCTCTTTGCCAATAAGTAACATAGCTTCGGATTGCCAATAATGTCGCCCATAAAGACGCTCAGCAAGTAATTCTCTTTCATCGAGTTGGACGATGACTTGTACTCCCTGCAAGATAATGACTCAAATTACTGATAATATTACTTCTATACTAGCTACTGCATTAATATTAGAAGAGAGATTCGAATAAAAGCAGGAAGGGAAGAGAAAAAAAATAGAAAGAGGAAAAAATAGAAATACGATAAGAATACGATAAGAAATATAATATTTCTACCACTATGTATATATACATATATATATATATATATATATGTTTGTTGCTGCGTCACATCGGCTATAAAACAGGCGATGTTTTATCGCTTAGTCGTCATTATTTTTGTCTACGCGACATCACTATCTTTTCTAAATGGATTCCTAATTTCTAATGACGCCACTTCTCTTACAAGCCTTCTATCGCTGATCGCTTTCCCCAAGACTAGTCGGAGAAGGCGTCCGGAACAATCTTTGTCCCTCATACATGGTCGGTTAAGTCCGTCTAGACGGTAGTTGCCGCCAATCTCCAATTTATCTACTCTCCTTCTACTCCTGCGGATCTCTCAGTCTCCCACATCTTGAATATTTCTATCTACGTGAGGTACCCGCAGGTTGCCACAGCTGACGAGAAGGAAACCCAAAGTACGAAATGCGTCTTAAAAAGATGCATCGTTCGTCGACAGGCATGGCGACACGTGCTCGCTATCTCGAGTCGCGGGGCATTAGGAGGTCCGAGATAAGTCGACAGATCCTCAAACCTACAGATCCGGCAGATACTAAGGCAGTCATAAAACACAGCCTGCTTGGATACACAGGTGAGACACGAGAATGATCAGAAGAAAAGTTGACGATGAAGAGTGACGATGAAGAAAGAGAAGCAGCTATCAGAATGCATTAGAGCGCCTGTGGAAGCACCATTAAAGGCTATCTGCTCCTAGCGTTACTTACAACTGAATTTAGTGTAAGCTCCGTGAAGGCGGAGAATGGTTGCACGGAGCGCATAGACGGTAGCAGGGATTTCTATTATATCTCCCACAGCGTGAGAAACGAGGACAGAAAGGAGAAAAAACTTTCTGTCGCCATTAACGGAGAGCACCTCTGGGTGCACTCCTTTTCAGAATTTGTAGATCGTATCTTGACATTATCGTCCTCACTATGATTTTACGACGCATTACGACACGTCTCGACCGCTTATTGATCGATTAAGCGTTATGTATCATGTGTCTTCATAGATGGAAATTTAATTTTTTTTTCTAATTAGAAAACATTTTTTTTCTTTCGATAATTTGACAAATGAAATATGATAAGATTAGTTATGGAATACATCTACTTTAATATCTTACTAAAATATAAAATGATTAAACAATTTGCATTAACTTGTTAACAATTTAGAAATTTTACTTTAACTTTTAATTATTTATAAAATATGTTTAATTTTACATTAAATAATTTCTTCAGAATTTTTCTTAAAAGAGATCTAAATTTATTGAGAGATTGATTTCGCATATATTAAAAAAAAAATCATTTTTTTATAATAGAAAACTAATTTTTTGCCTTCATTTTTATATTTGTTATTAATAATGCCATAGTCTTGCAAAAGTGAATAAATATCTATTACATTATATATTTATCATACGAAATGTTATAAAGGAGACTAGAGCTGATTGTTGTGACTAGGATTGATTGTTAAAATGTTTATAACTCAAACAGAACAGAAAAATCTCTTTTCTTGATTGTTGATATAATATTAATTTGTTGTAAAATGATTTGCATCACAAGCATTGTATATATTATTTATAATGATTTTTAAGAAAATGAAGTTGGTGAGTAAATTTTTCTTATCATCTATTTTGTTGTCTGACAAGTTGACATTATTAATCGCGGTATCCCTGTATTCATAGAAAATGATATGTCTTAGAAGATTTTTGTATACTACAATTAATTAATCATTATCCTGTGACAAAGTTTGTAAATACAATCTCTTTTATTAAAAATGGCTATGTGGAATAGATTGACGACGTTAAGTGACAATAAATTTTAATATTTTTAGAGAACACATTTTTAGAGAATATACTTATTACAAATTTATTATATATTTCATATATATAGGTATGTATATATGTTTTTCATTTTTCATATGGAAACTACGGTACAAAAACAAATTATGTATTTTATAATTAAAATAACTATTTTATTTGTATTAATACCATAATTATTATTATTTCTCAAAATATAGAACTGATATTAAAATAAAAATTGTATTTTTTATATGTGTTGTCCATAACAAAAAATGTGCTACTACCAACTCTAGAACGTATGACAATCAATCCAAAACACTGAGTTAATTGTCACATTTTCGTATAGCTTCATAATTAAATAACTTATTTTTATGATATGATAAATTCACGAATAATAATAATAATTTTTTAAATACCTTTAAATAAAGAATGTAGACATATTATAACGTATATATAATATTGGAAGTACAAATTAGTTCGGTCCGTTTCCTTAAAGATGATTCCAGCTGTTATGAATGGTTCATAGTGACAGCTGATTTTGGCGGTTTCAGAGAGGTTAAACATCTGCTAATAATATTCAGTTTATATCGCTTTGAGTTTCATACAAAAATCTTGATTTTTACTGTGTTTGAAATGTCGAATTTTGTGTTAACCAAGCAGCATTTGCGGGAGGCAATTAGGTTTTGATTTTTTGCTTTAATTGGAAGTGCGGCTGAAGCCCATCGAATGCTTGTCGAAATTTATGACACTGCTCCAACTGATAAATCATGTAGGAAATGGTTTCGACGTTTCAAGGATGGAGATTTCAGCGTTGAAGACAAGCCTCGCTCTGGACAGCCAAAAAAATTCGAAGACAAAGTCTTCTTCATGACAACGCTCGGCCTCATGTCGCTAAAGTCATAAAAAAATATTTGGAAACGCTCAAACGGGATGTTTTACCGCACCCGCCATATTCTTCGGACATTGGTCCTTCTGATTACTGGTTGTTCCGAAGGATGCAGCACGATTTGCCACCGGTTCACTTCTTTCGCAGAAATCGAAAATTGGCTCCAAAATTGGATCGCCTCTAAAGACGAATCATTTTTTCGAGATGGAATTCGAAAATTGCCTGAGAGATAGGAAAAAGTAATAAGCAGCGACAATACTTTAATTGATTCTGTTCATTCATTTTGTTTTGAAATAAATGCATTTTTGAACACAAAAAAACGGACCGAACTAATTTGTACTCCCAATATTTCAAAATCAGACATCTACTTTTTTTTAAAAATCATTAATAAAACACCTGTGACAACTGACCCCGATTTCTCCTATAACATTGCGCAAGACGTGGTACGGTGGTATTTTATTACATTGTTTTAATGGATTTATTAAAAAAAAAATCTCTACCGATTGTATTTCCTAAGTAAGGTAAAATATTCAGCCATGAAACCTGATTTCAAGATTAGATTCTTTCAACCATGAACTTCAGAATCATGATTGCGTAATGCAATCATGAAAGAGCATGTATAACGATAGTGTACTCTCTCGTCCTGAAGTCGAACGTATACATCCTCAATTTTTTTAGTATTATAATTTCTTTTTGATATTACTCGAATATTTTCAATATATTACATATTTATTAAAATTATCAACTAAATTAAATAGCGATTACAATATTGCAGTTTATACCTGAATATTTCATTCCAATTAAGAACGCGTTCCCAATTTTTTCTTTGAAGAGATCGTTCCGCATACTTGACACAAATTTTCTCGTAGATGCAAACATTATTTCCGAGCTCAGCTACTAGCTTCTTTTCGACTTGGTCAATGTCTAAGATCTTTTCATCGTATATCAAAGGATGTGCTCGTTTTACTCGACTGATATAAGTATCTAAGAATTCAAAAAGAATACTTTTAAAAGATTTACAAAATATAAAAACTTAATTTAGTTTATTGAAATTTAATAACTGTTCATCTATGAAGTTAAAAATTTTTTGCACATATAATAAGTAACATAATTTTTCTAAATACAATGATCTTAATTTGTTGTTTTAATTCGTTTGATAATTATAAAGCATTTCGAAATTCATTGTAATAGCCTTCTTTTGTTCTAATTCTTGGCGTACGTATTCATTTAACGGTAAGCAATTTCGATCAATTATTAAGTCATTACATGGCTTCGTGATCGGAGAGAGAAGTTGTAACAAGTGGAACACTTTCGTTTTCGCTGTTCGTTGATTTGAGTCACGTATCTGATGAGTTAACCGCGGAAAAGGCAAATAACCTATGACATATAATATTCTTGCTTTCATGCTCGGTGCTTTCATGCTCGGCCATTAATATTGGCAATATTCTTTTACTAATCTTTATATTTCCTCTTTTGCCATTTCAATAATAATCTATTCACACTCTCGTCGATCATTATAATAAAAAAAATACGGTCATATAATACGTGATATATAAATATAATATGTAAATATAAGAATTACATTATTATAAAATATATCTTTTCTGTATGCATTACCTGGACTTAAAGCATAAGCGAGCTTCTTGAGGAAGTTGATGATTCTTACACTTGCTATAATTACCGGAAAACCGATCAACTGCACCGGAATTTCGAAGTGTGGTTCGTTTTGATCGGCCACTGTGACAAGTATCAATACCAGGAAGTAGCAACCAAAGCGCAAGAATGTCCGCGGCAATTGCATTATGTAGTAGAGCTAAGACATTCGTTAGTTATTATAAAAAGTGTTGTGAAACCGACTCGACTGAAACGGACGTTGAGATTAACTTCCGCTATTGTGCGTGAGTAATACTTCTTCTTTCCGTCGTGCAACTTTCTATATTTCATACAAAAGAGAATACTTTATGTTAGTGTATATGTAAAGAAACAATCTTTCCATTTAATCTTTCCATTTTATCATTATATAATTTATATTTTACAAATATCTTCTTAATTCATTTTTTAAATTTATTTTTTTCTATGATTGTTACACAGAGACAAGGTTGCTTCGATTTAAAGAAATTTCGGTTAAATGAAAAAATTTCTTTAATTTATAAAAAAATTTCTTTGATTTGATTTTCTTTTGATTATGAAAAAATTATGATTTGAATGTCAATTATATTTGAACATAATTTTTTTTAATCAAATAAATTTTATTTGCTTTTAAAAAATAAATTAAAAAAATTTTTTCACAAATCAAAGAAATTTTTTTTTTTAACCGTATAGAAACATTTCTTTGAATCGAAACAATCTTTTCTCTGAGTGCATAATTATAAACTATAATAATAATGCAAGAAAAATGCATCTTATACATAAATTACATTATTCATTATGAAAATATTTCAATTAATCGAACCCTTCACTTTTTTCTTTAATAAAATTCTACATTTTCTACTATTTATGAAATTTTAGTCACGCACTTCACATAGTTCAAATCATTCAATCGCACCTTCATGAATAGATCGATTGCTGTTATTTCAAAGCACCATGATTATGCAATTCATAATAGATTGCGTATACTGCACTTCTACCGCATCGATATGTTTTTCCGTTCAATTATACAAACATGTATCATCTGAAACACGCACTTCAACTACATCAACGCATGTGACTTTGGTCAAAAACTCACAGCCTACAAACTGGCGGCTGCTTGCTGCTTTAGTAAAAACTTGTTGCTGAATGTTCCTCAGAGCATGAGACCGTTGCTCATGCCAACGAAGAGAAAGTGATTGCCCCTTCCCGTTACCCGAAGCCTTCGATCCTAGCTAGTTACATGTTATAACATTTGGCACATGTTGTAACATTTCGAGGATTTCTTCGCATCAGATCATTGAGAACAAATTCCGCAGACATAACTTTTGTAACTTGGTTCTTCCTAGCAGGATTAGACATTGCGTTCTATCTAAATTGAGCTATGTACTTATTCTTTAAATCTAAATCAGTGGATAATCATTGATATTAGTGCCAAGTATGCACTAATCAGTGAATGAAATGTGAGATCCCTAATCTAACTAATATTTATTATGTGATTTAATTAATCTTGTTTTAGTGCATAAATTCCATGAATGATATTGGAAGATTGAAATTAACGTGCAAATATCAGTATTTTATATAATAAAGTAAAAGATTTTTGTAATAAAACAAAAAGTTAATGTATCGACAGGGCAATAAAAGTCAAATAAATATATCTAATTAAAAAGTTACATATATTAAAGAAAAAAAGAAACAATTATTTTACAAATATTTAAAATAAAATTTTCCCATTATAAAAATTCATATTACAAAAATTCGTATAATATGTATTTTAACTACGAGATTAAGCCATCCTCAGAATATAAATTGCTGATGAATATAACTTAATTTTTTGAAGAATAATGTAAAACGCAGTGAAGAATTATAAAAGAAAAAAATCAAAAGATCTTGAGAATTTAAATTAGTATTTTAGTTATATAATGACTCAAACATTTTTTTCTTTGTTAGTTGAACTTCATTGATTATCCAATGCCAAGTATGCCACTAGGTAATTGAACTTCATTGATTATCCAGTGCCAAGTGTGCCACTGGGTAATTAGTAACTATCCACTGATTTAGAGAGTATTCAGATTTAGAGAGTAGATATTTTCTGGCAAATTGATATCACATATTTAAGTTAAATATATTTAAGTTAAACTTCAAGAGAGCAAAACAAAAATTTTTTTTGTGAAATTTGTTCATTTTGTGCAAAAACATGTCGAATGAGTCTAGTTTTCGATTGGACATAAGGGAAATTAATTAAACTTATAATATTTACCACTGAGGAAAATCTCTTCAAAGGAATAAAATTTGGAGTAAGTACTATATGAGTCATCATTAAATGAATCATACAGTTCCATGATGATGCTGTGGTTAGTCTACTATCTCCATTCGTTCATTTGTTTTTTAATATTAACAATATACGATAACAAAGAAACACATAAAAAAAAATCTATTGGAACTTTATTAAGTATCCTGATAATGTCAAAATGACGTCATTTGACGTCAAAATGACATAGCTTGCTATCTGAGTAAAACTACACTTACTATCTAAGTAGAAATCAAATATCTCAGACATATACGGTTGTAAAATAAAAACTTTAAGAATAAAAATATTTACTAGGTATACGATTTTTTAAAATTGTGGCATAACTTCTATCATAGATGTGTTTGCAAGATGTTACAGCAGACTTAGCAGCAGTCGCTGCTGCGTGCTCAGATACATTTACGTATGTCTCGCGTTTTGTTTAATAACTTCGATTATTCTACTTAATCTTATAGTCAACTGATCCTGGTCTCCCCTACTTCGTTTTTGTTCGCACTCAGGAATATTAATATTATATTGTACAATAGAATATAATTTGCACAATGATAAATCATGTTTCTGGCGATGCAATATATAAACGATACTCAAGTTTTCGTGATAATAATGTTAATTACTGAGAGAAAAAAATGACAATATTCTGCGAAATTTCAAAATCTCGGTTGGACCATAAAATAAAAATTTTAGCTCGTAAATTCATATCAATAGATTATTAAAATTATAAATCAAAATTAAATCAATAGATTATTAAAATTATAGAAAAATATCTGAATTAATGTTAACATTCAGTTCTTTCCATTAATTTTAGAAAATTATTCTGTCAATCTCTGTAATTATTTGTAATAATTAATTTGTAAATTTAAAAGATGATACATGCATTCATATGGATGTATTTATACTCAATGTTACAGTTTATTTATTTGTTAATAAGTAGGTACTTACATCTCGCTTATACGTGTCACTACTTTCACTTGGTATACTGTAACCTTGTAGAATTCATTTTTAGATTTTATATTTTAAAAATCTTGTATAATGCGACGTATCGTAATCACTTATTTTATAACTTTCTATTTATTCTATATATATTTTAATAACGAAAAAAATAAATAAATTGTAACTTGAAAACATCGAATATTTCATTTTATGGTTACAAAATATTCCTATACTCTATGTAATTTATGACTTTAAATTTTATTTTATATTTCTTAAATATTATTTTTATATAATGTGTATATCTTATATTCTTTAATTTTATACTTGCACTTCCAAGCTTTTATTTATTTCTATGCTATTGCGTCAGAATATTATCATATTTCAATGAGAAATAGCAAAAATGCAGACAACATACAGAACATTCTTTTTTTTATTGCGAAATATTCTCCCAGTCATTGTCATAAGTTCATTGCATACGATCCCGAAATCGTGCATTTCCGTAGGAAGTCCCATGGTGACGCTTTGCCAAATTATCAGTATTCCCGATCTCCGCTCTACCCTATTCTTTTTCCTATTTTAATACAAAAGCGCTGCCATCCCCAGATATAATCCGGAACCCAACGGGGAAACGCGCGAAAATTATTAGAATAATCGTCGGCGTCTTTATCGACTTAAGCCCGATGCCAACTCGTCCCGAGTGGACATTTTCCAACGAACCGTGCGATCGTAAACGAGATCGTGCCAAGAGTCTCGGTTAGCAGTTAGAGCTGGAGCGATACGCGAGGACAAACGGGATGTAATACCGATGAAACCGCGCCACTAACCGACCTCTCCGCTCTCCGAAACAGCCAGCGACACATTTGGAATCCTTGCAAAAATTATCGCATGATATTGTCGTTGGAGTTTATTGACGTTTCTTGCATCGATGCCAAGCCACGTGCGATTTCCTGCTGCAATTTCCAGCTCCTTTTTCGTTGTATATAATACAGCAAAGAGGTGAGATCAAAAAACTTTATCAATTTTTCAAAATAACGGGTGACTGGTAAATGAGATTAATTATTAATTCACTTTATTAAGACATCGATAGGCTGTTGTAATCGCTAAAAAATTCCTTGAATATCTGACCTGCATCTTTTACATTCTATCATGTAACGCTTGTACTGTGCACTGCACACGTAATTGAGTTTATGAAGTTTTGATATTTAAAGATAATACAATACAGCCAGGAGAGGGAAGCAAAACGTTAATCATTAAGCAATAAATTAAATAACTTATAATCTATAATTTATAATCTGTATGTTGTATTATTAAAATTTTTCATTCATATTGTAATAAAAATGGATTTCGCTTTGTATTGGGTTGTCCGGAAAGTTCGTGCCGATGTTGAAGGAAAATTGAAACGCAGAAAATTTAAATTTTCATACATTTATTAAATTATATAGGTTAGTTCGGCATGAACTTTCCGGACAACCCAATATATGCTGCGTGTTGTAATGTCCTTTAAATTATTCAAATAATTTTATATGATATAATGAGAGAGAAAGAATTTTTTTCGATATAGCTTCTTTTTTTAATATACTTGTTCGAGAACGCCAAAAATTTTTCAATTATAAAATATCACGAAGTTTCGAAAAATTTGTCCTACTTCAAATTGACACCTTGTTAAAAATTTAAAAAGATCGTTTACGAAAAATTAACGTTAGCGATATGAGAAAATAGAGATATATTGAAATATATCTTTATAAAAGTTTTATTAATATGTAGCCAAAGATGTAGCTTAAAATACATTAATCTTTATTTTAATAATCTTAGTCGAATTATCCCGGGCTAGTTGAATCAAATGGAATGCACTAGAAAAATGTATTTTTTAAATATTAGTTATCAGTTTCCCCTTATTATTAAAACATTATTAGGTAGTCAAATGTATGTAGTAACAAGTATAGAATTTATTTTTTCGATAAGTCCCTTAATTTCGTCTATAAAAATTCGAAACCGAAAAATGAGTCTATTAGCCCCAGTCTCCTCCTTTCACAATATCACAGGTTAATTAAATCATCGATTTCAACAGTGATGGTAATCATGCTTTAGCGTAGACGAATCTTCTTCATCATGTTCAGAACTCTAATACCCGGCAACGGACATGTCGGGTAAAAGTTATGACAACCTTGGCCTTCTATACCAGAAATCAGTTGACCCATGTGAGCCGCGAAGTGATATCTCGATGGTACTTCCGCCATTGTGTTCAGACTTGTATCTCTGAAAGTAACATAGAGTTTTTATTAGCGTAATCAGCTTCCCGTGCGTCGCGAGATGCAATTATTTTCGCATTGGTATGATAATCAGGTCATTTATCGTAAAATCGATTTTTGCACATCAATCAAAAGTTTAAGATTCATTTATTTTTATATTTTTATATAAGTGTGGATATGTGTATAATAAAATACGTTTTAAATATCGTGACAGTCATAAAATTTTTTCGTCTGGCAAAGTGCTACAAAACTGAATCGAATATCGAAACAGTTGATCGTGTGAAACTGGTTTAGCTGCATAAAAATTAGCACAAGGTAATTCACCTTTTACTTTCGATATCGACATCAACCATGACTATAAATAGACATATTAATGCAAAGTCCAGTTGCATCCAGCAAAAACGAGGATATATTATCGAATCCTTTCTCTTCAATATACCCGCATTTGCATTTTCAGATAAGTTGAAAGGGAACAAACTAAGTTTCGTCGTCTCTTTTAGAACAAAATTATGTGAAAATCTCTCGTGATAATATTCTACTTTAAACAAGTCTGTAATATATCGATTTCTCTGATTCTTTCTTTAGCTGAAAGAATAATTTAGAAACGTTTGTAGAAAGCATTATTGAAGTAAACTATTACCGGAATACAAAGCAGCAAGGCAAATCGCTTTCTTCCGGATTTTTTCGCGAAGATTCTCACGTACGTTGCTTTGCAAATCTATTCCCTCGGATTTCCGTGAGAACTAAAATCGACGTCGATTGCCAACGATTTTTGCTTTAAAAAAACCATCCGGATCTCGTCAAAAGCTAACGGATACCGCGCTGAATTCTTCGAGAAATCGTTCGATCTGTCGGAAGAGCAAAAGCGCGGCAGTTTCGTCACGCATGACTCCCGCAGAAGACGTTTTCCTCCATTGGAAAAGAGAAAGAAAGCTCTTCCCCTCTTTACGATTCCCAGCTTCGAAGGGGCGCCAGAATATAACGAGTAAACGCAAACGGCTTTTTAGCCTCTCCATCTTGATCGGTTTAACCCGGAGCGATCCGCGCCGATAAAAATCGGGATGCGTCAGAATGGACTGGCGTTTACGCAGGCATAAAAGTAAATATAAAGCTTGGATCCTTCCGGGACATTAACTGCGGCGCAAGAATCCTTCCTAGGACGATCTTCTTTCGCTCGGGGATGCCCACTTTCACACAGAAAAGACAATGAAGACGTGCGAAAGATAACGCGCGCATATATTTACTCTATCTACGACTTGTAATTATATTTAAAGTTATATTTGAAAACTTTTCGGGAAGTTTTAATACAATATTTTCCACAGTCGTGTCCCTTCTATGTGGCCTCTATTTTATAAATAGATAAATTTATGCATAAATATTTATTCAGTTTAATATAGAAACTACGGAATTTTTATCTTATCACAAATACACGTGTAACTTTTAATGAGTGTGCAATGTAGTGTAAAGAAATATTGTGCTTTTAAACGAAAACAAAAATGTACTATACGTCGGGACAATGCTGTCGTTTTGGTTCATTATACTTTCTAATGGAACTCGCTTTTCTGCATCAATTCATTTTACTGTTCGTCGACGTCGTTTTCGTTTAACACGTGGAAATGAACGGCCGTAATAAATATGAGACTTTTATTTGAGCTCGTTTTAATATCTTTAAGATCCGATTTACGATATATATAAACGATATGTATAAACATTCCTTTAATTTTTGTTATTTAATCATATTATGATAATTACTTTACTCGTTTATTATTAGCGAATTATCATTCTATAATAGATTTTTAAGTATAATATATTTTAGAACAAATATTATTAGAAAAAAGAGATAATAAAATGCGTAAATATTCTAATTTCTAATTATTAACATAAGAAACGAAAAGCTAAGATGTTAAATAAAAAGTACTATCTTGTAGGAAGAAACCATTACATATTAATTTGCTTTCTTATTATATATTGTGTGTAAAAAGTATGTTAAGTAAAATATGTACATAAAAACTTTATTCATGAATAATACGAGAAATTTACGTTTATTTTGAAAATGAAAATAGTTCTGTATATAATTTATGACGAGCATGAAATGATCGAGCGTTTTTTTAACCAGAAACTATGAATTAATTATCGAAATTGTAAATAACTCATTGCTTTCTATCAGCTTACATTATTTATCGATGAAATGTTTACAGAAGCAAACCAGAGAAGGCCGCATAGCAGATGCAAAATGCTATGTATGCCGTGTCGCGGAGAAAGTATACAGATTGGATAATGAAAAGGAAAGTATTCGTCGAGGTTACGATGAGGTGCGGCAAGACGTGCGCGTTTTCGGATGAACTTACATAAGAGACAGCTAACTTTCGCGCGATAGCTTTCAGTTGGCCATTTTTCAAAATATGCGACTTGATCATTAATTTACGATAACATTCACGATTAGGTTATCATAATTCTTAAAGACAAATTAAAATCAATCAAATTGTAATGGTTAAATAAATATTAAATAATATATTTTGCATACTATTTCGTTACGAAATTTGTTTACGATGTAATTAATTACAAAAATTATATATTTAGAACGCGCGTTGTGATTTTCAAAATAACTGATTTGTTATATTAAGGTTAATTAAAGATTATGAAGACGCTAATTTGGCCTCCTTTTCCGTTTTCAATATACCAATGTTCTAAGGAATACGTGTTCGTGTGGTGAGGATCAACACTCTTGAATGTATATTAATACATTCATGTTGGAAATGTCTGTGCATCGGGTCCACTGCGATGATACATTCCACACTATGCAAATATAGGGATTTAAAAGCAGATAGATGCCGCATTTCCCGATTTTCCAGCAGAGTCAGTTTTAACGTAACGTTGCTTTTAATCAGAACGTGAAAGCACGAATTCGCGGTATAATTCTTTGCATTATCCGCATAACACAGCGGATACGTATATACGTGGGACCTAGCTGCATTGTACATCGTCCGATCGTAAATGAAAATTGCAAAATACGCACAGTGTGCACAATGTGCCGCGCGCCATTGTCCCGGTATCCAATTTTCCCAGGCGAGCAAGTATTTCTCGTTGGACATTTCCTACAGTCGTCTACGTCGTTTTCCAAAACATCCTGTATATAATTGTGATGCACATGTGATTATTAGCTTTTAGCTTCGCTGAAGATTGCAAAATTTCTCGACACATCCATTCATCATTGATGGACAGTCATCGGTTTGTGCTTTTGAATAAGAAACGTAGCCATTCGTATTCGCGTAAAATTATGTTCTTAGCAATTTTCCTCGTGCCATTATTTGCGTGACCAGAGAGAAATAATTTTTTCATATCCTTCACGATAGCGCCTTTCAGGGTCGACGGACCCTGAATCGTTTAGTTGCAATGCCGATCGAAAGTTGAGTGAAAGTAAGAACATTGGTGCAAGAGCCTCAATGAAAGTAGATTCTCACTTTGTTGTATCAAATAAAGTGAGCAGCATACCAATTATCACTATCAGATTCTTCCCTAATTAATTTTGATAAAAATCAAACTTTAATAAAAAAATCAATCTTTGCGATTTAGTGACAAGTTCATTATTTATTATTTAATCTAATAAGCCACTTTCTCTTCCTGTAATACAAATAGAAATAGAACTAAAATGTAAAAGTAGTAGTTGCATACCTTATAAGATTTAAAAGAGATCGCTCCATTTCACTTAGTTGGTCTTGATGAACAGACTTGGTGAGTTCGCATATTAGCTTCGGCAAGCAAGCAGTTTTGATCATTGTCATCATCTTTGCACGGCGTAGAGCAACTGCACAAAAATCGGAATCATATTGTCAATTATGCCGTGACACATGCAATATCATTCCGAGTGATGGGACGATTAATGGATCACAAATATTATTCCGAATGACAACGCATATTCGAATAAATGACCAGCTTTGTTTAATCTCACTATAAGTGACAAGTTAAAAGCCAAGAACACGAGTCAAATTTCTAAAGATCTGGGATGTGCCAAGGACTTTTACTTTCAGAAACAAAAGTATTCTCGTTTCGTTCCAGATTTTTAGAAACTTAATTAGTACATTATACAAATACATTAATAATGTTAGCTATTCTATTTTTCTATTTTCTATTTTATAGATATATTATAGTTTATTGTTATATTTTTTCTGATATTAAAAATAATATTAATTTGTTAGAAAATATTTAGGAATAATTAAGTGATATAGAAAATATAAATATAGAAAATCATTATAAAATATCATAAATGTGTTACAGTTAAATTGTTATAATTAAATATTATCGTATATAACGCTCGCTAATTATACCATTTAATCTATAAATAATATTTAAAAATATGCTACACGCATTCACTCTATAATTGAATTGAAACTCATTTTATCGTAGACTACTTTCCATTTTCTCGATTGAGAACTGGTTATGCTTGTAACAAGATTTTGATAAGACAAATGAGACGCACATACATTTTGAATCGAAGGGATTTCGATAAATCAAATGGTTGTCAAATAATTAAAACAGATGAGTGCATGACTAATTAGTCAATTCGCAGGGTAATAATTAACTCCATGCAAACTAACAAGCGCAACTCGATGAATAATGGTATGACGACATATATATGCGTGTAGATCTCGCATGTATTTTTATGCAATAGCAATTATAAAGGGAAAATGCTAAGCAGTTTGTCGCAAGGATGTCTTACTCAAAGGTAAAATTACAGCTCAAATGGGATATCATTGTGTTGCTGCCAAAGTAAATATGTTTTATTGTAGAAAAAAAAGATTATATTATTAAATTTTGTGTTTCGCAACGCATTTGTGAAAAAGTATTATGTATCATTTACACGATAGTCTTACTCTTACCGTTATTTTTATCGATGTCTTTTTTCGAAACAACTGGTATCTTATCATGGGAAGGCCCTTTGAGTTGAGCCTTGGGTTCTTTCATAGCATCAGTTATGTTCCTCTCCGTTATATTACCGAAAATTGAAGCGATCAATGCACTATAATCGCCGGCAAAAATCAGAAACATGCCCAAAAATATTACTAACCGCACCGTACTGGCATCCATGTCGATTTTTTTCAATAAGGCGAGCGTTACGGCAAACTAGAGATAATCCTAATTTATTGTCAATCCTCTGGCAGACATAAGATGTAATAATGTACGAATCCACTGGTAGAGAATTACATCTGAAAGAAGTGTCAAATATTGAGCACAGTTGATTAATTAAAGAATAAATTTGCATATGTAAATGCATAGTTAGAAAAATTTACTTTTGTTTTCTTTCCTACGTTGTTTACATGTTTGTGCGTATGTTGTGTGTACGCGCGCGCGCGCGCGCGCGTGTGTGTGTGTGTGTGTGTGTGTGTGTGTGTGTGTGTGTAAAATAACGTATAAATTGAAAGCGACATGATTATATTGAAATCCATTTGATTATTCCAATTTCTTATTCATTGCATATATTATCAGAGAACATGATATTCATCACAATGAAATTATGTATCTAATGATAAATATGCAGTATATGCAGTAAACGTCGATTCATGGCGATGACTCTGCCACTTTCAACAATCACGTATTATTACGTAAACATACAATCGATCGCACTTTGCGACTCCAGGAGGTAAGTTTGCCTTAACCTGAATTTTTGAAGGTATACAATTTCTTATACGCAGATCGTCCAAACAAATACTCGTCTCCGGATCCGCGATCGACCAGATGGTTGTGAACCGGTCACAACTCTCTCTCTCTCTCTCTCTCTCTCTCT